TAATAATACCGATTAACGATTTTTAGGAGGTTGTCAGAAAGCAGGAAATTAAAAACGATACATTTGTTGATCTCGCGTAGGATATTCTTTGTGCTTGTGACACAATGGAGACACAGATTTTATAGTTCCCGTGCATTTGCAATTCCACATTATTTATTTGAAATTCATCTCCGCATTATCCGCGCGTGGTGAAACTAATCACGTGAATAAAAGAGTAGGAAGAAAGGTGTGACGCGTCCTAAAGTAGAATACCATATCTTCGACTTCCGCGGCATGAGCGTGTAGGTGGAACTATTTTACATATTCCGCGGTATGCGTGAAAGATTTAAACGGGCATATTTCGGGAAATATACGACGATACATTTCGAAATATCGAAATCGACGGTGGGTGTAACTTTATGGTGCAAGTCGCACGAGAGCATGTGTTGTCTTTATCTCGGGTAGATCCACTTCACAATATCTCCCGCCACTATCGCGTCTTTCATAACGGTTTCTTTGCGCGATCGAATATTGTAAAACATATGATACAAAAATTATTATCAATGAGAACATCTTTGTATTGTGGATGTTACTATATTTGCAAAGCTGTTTAAGAGAAAATTTATGCAACGAGATATGTTAGACATTAGATTATTCGGCGCTTCGTCACACGTCTGCGAGCTCACAAAGCGAGAATTGAGCCAGGCTATAAATCATTCCGCAATGATTCTCTTCTTCGGACGAACAACAGGAAAGCTTTATCGTTATCGCAACAGCAGCAGACTCTCTTCCCACAGTTTGTGGTCGGAGCTTATATATTGCGGTCCGCTTTGGTGAATTATTTCGTAACATTGTCACTTGAAATAAATACCTTTGTCACTGTTAATGATTTAAGGCTGGAAGGGGTTTCCTTTATACGCGAATTCCCCGATATTCCTCTGTTTTACATTTGCTTTCAATCTTCCTGCGCCTCTTAATATATTAATATAACGCGAGAGGAACTTCTCAACTTACTTTGCACTGATAATATAATAAATTCCGACGATCCCACGAGCCACCAGTGAACATCTAAACAAAACGTAGCGATATGCGAATCGATCTCTTCTGAATAATTTAGTAATAACAACCTACGCGAGAGCGAATCTCCAGCCGAGCTGTTGCGTTGTCCTGAAGACAAACGGATATCAGAGCTACAAGTCGGGGAGGTGTTAGAACAGGATAAAGTCGCATATTTTTACTTCGGAGGTATTTGCATATAAAGCTTCGTCTGAATTTTGAAAACTCGAAGCGAGAGAAAATATTGCGCAGTGACTCGCGTGGGCTCTCCCACTAATCATTTGCATGATACTGTTATTTCATAGAATCAATTTTATGTAAAGTAAAGACGATTGAAGCAAATAAAATGACGAATAAGTGCAGTAAGATGAAAAAATATTGTGTATATTTAGGCGAGATCTACTTGAGACTTTGCATTTGTTTCATTCTGCTGGTCTAGCAGAATCTTTCTACTGATGTAACAGAAGTTGGTGTTTGTTGTGTATTTCCTGGTGTGCGTAAAATTTCTACATGATGCAGTAATCGGAATGTGGACGACATTTCGGTTGGCTGCACGCTGAATTCTCACGATTCTGAATGACTTTTGTATAATAGCGAGTAAACGACGCGCGCGTGTGTACGTGCCTTCGTCTGAGCGGATAAAAGGCGCATAAAAGTGAAGACCCATTGAACTATCGGTCACTACCGATCCTCCCCTATTGTGCCGGATACTTTCTTTCATGTTTTCCGCAACGAATGTGGCCCCTGGCCGGGCGTCGAAATCGCCCACATACTTGTCTACCAGGTGATTTCAACGATACCGGCAGGTACAACGGAGCCCCCCTTTTGTATAAATTACCATTGAACATTACAACGTCCATATTATTACACATTATATAAAAGTAACAGAATACTTTAAAACTTACACAAACGAAACGTTGAAATTTATTCTATATATGCGTGTATTGTCGTATAAAATAAATCTTACATAAATAATATGACATTGTGTTTGAGCGGATAATATAAAAATTGTGTCTTTACTGTTATTACAAATACCCTTCACGAGATCAAGAAATGTATACCTCTTTTACGATAATTTTCTTGCTTTCTGACACTCTTCCAGCAATAGTTAGTCAGTATTATTATTTATCATGACATTGCCCCTGGTAATATGTATTTAATCAAGTAAAAAAAATATTATGTTATACCATTTCCACAAATCACTAATTCCCGTGAAAGCACTGCCCATAATCCCGTATAACCTTCCGCAATCCGCGTACTGCACCGACAAGTCGTTCTGGAACTAATCGTTCATTTAATCCTGTTGTCTAAGAGAGTACGTTCGAAATGCTTAAAGATTTAGCGTGAAGAGTATTAGCGCTTCGTGGTATTACACGAGCCGGCCTGGAGGAGCTCGTACCCTGTGGTCAGCGTGTAAATACACGCATCGTCATCGATTAACCGGAATGCCGTAACGTCTATTTTGCAACAAGATTATGTCAAATAGCTGCAGTTTCAGGCGCTCAGGTTACACACGGCGCTCACAGTCACGCTGATGGGTGCTTTCCACGCGGGCTCTTACATTACTATCGGCTTCACGCCCGATTTAATCATCCGCTACACATCGCTCGATCTTTCCCCCGATCGTTCCACGAACCGGTTTGTTCCGCGCCACGAAATTTTGTGATAGTTAAGTGCATATTGCGCTTATACCGGAAATCATGATTACATTCGTCATCTACCTCCCGTGGAGCTCAGTGAGGTCCCGATGTTAACCTTCTATTGACTTCCTGGATTTCTTCATAACAATATCTTTCGCGTAAATAAATATATTATGATGTAAAAAAAATAATTGTCGCGCGTTTTTATTTTATTACACGCGAACTGAATTTTTGGAGATATTTCTTCCTGGTTTATATATATATATATATATATATATATATATATATATATATATTTGCTTATTGCATATATATAATATATATTTGCTTATTACATGTTGGGATAACTTTCTTGAACGTCATATGCGACAGCACATAGTTAGCCTATGTACCTACGTTCCATCTTGGAGATGATTTATGGCAATTCAATAACTCCTCAAGGCATAAGAAGGAATTTGAATGTCATCTTGAATATTTCTCGCTCCAATAGGCACGAACAATACGTGCCAAGTCTGTAGCGATATGCTCTCGGGAATAGAAAGCAACAACCCTTTCATCAGTACTTTGTGTGCTGTATGAGTAAGGATTACGAAAGAACTCCAGAATAGCATAAATTTTGTGTAATAATATAGACTTCACTCTTACTTCTATTACTGCAGTTTTGTATTGTATTAAATAAAATCCAGGAAAGATTTATATAGTAATAAAGTTCAAAATAAATATAGTAGGCATATAAAAAATATAAAATTTAATTCAAATTTAATTGTAGGGGAGATCGGGGCAAGTTGGTCTAAAGATCACGTTAGTTATGCATTTGTTTATATATTTATTGTAAAAGCAAAAATGACAAGAGGATCGCAAAATATTCTTTTTAGAACTTAGGAAAAGTATCTATGTGCTACAAAGATTATTTTGTGATTCCTTTTTCATTATCATGTTTACAATAAATACGTAAATCAAATGTGTGGCTAACATAATCTTTCGGCCAACTTGAGCCGGTCTGCTCTATGTGGTTCTACAAAATGTTGAAAATCCAAAGGAGAAAAATTGAATTATCTTTTTTAGCAATAAAAGAAATAAAAATTCAACTGATCTAGCGTAAGACAGACTGTATAATCAATTATCTGTTTAGAAGGAAGAAGAGTGGGAGTTAATCTAAGTCAAAGGTATAAACGAAGTGTGATCTCATGTCACGTGTTTGCACTTATAGTCTCAGAACCGTAAATAGATGCTTTGTAAAATAGCGTAGAAATTCTGACTTCTACAATAGATAACTCTTACGAAGATTAATCACGTTCCTCGGCACGCAAACGTTTGATGATGACAGCTGATTCCGCGAGGCCGTAGGAAGTAGACTGGTGGGAAATAAACCGGTAAAAACTATCAAGATTCTCGTGCTAAATCATCGAGTAGGATATTACAAAGGAAGTACTGAGCTAAAGAGTACTCTAAACTTCCTGTTAAGGGAGTATGGAAGAGTGCTGAGAAGTGCTAAGGACGGAAGTATTGATATATGAAGAAAAATTGTGACAGGTAGAAGAAACGATGTAGTAAGTTGGCCCAACTGGCTTGGCTTTGAATGTAGACCATAAAATTCTTAACTCCGACTGATGATGTAATAATCCCGAAATCTAAAATGGCCGACCAATATGGCCGTCGAAAATGCAAGAAGCAGTCAAGTGGAAGTTGTCTACCGCAATTTCGCGACTGACATCGAAAGACGCGTGAAAAACTCAATTATTCTTTAGAGAGATGTGATGATTAAACATCTTTCTCTACAGAGGAACTTTTCTGACCAACGTTGCCATCTACGTACACTAAGAAATGGTTCACGCGTCTACCATGATGGACAGCAGTCTACACGAGAGATGGTCAACGCGAATCAACTTACATAGACACAACCCACACGTCCGATTATAATCACGACCGTGACATTAATAACTCCGCAATGAGCGGTAATCCGATGAATGCATAACAAGGCCCATGAAAACACATTATGACCCTGTGCTACACGTTGTTACATTCACACTTGACATCCAGTACCCCGACATCCGACTCATGTGGACCGCGACTGACGTTTCGATCTCACCCCACCATTTTGAGCCCATCGCGCGCGGTCCAGTCGGTCCGATCGGCCGATCCGATCTGCACCCCCTGGCGCTCACGACGATCGACCAAGCGGCCAGGTGGCGCAACCCTCATGCCGGACCATCGCTTGATCGTAACTCCTGTACCCTTCGCGAAAACAAAAATGACGAGGGGGTAAGGCCGGTATGTACCCGCGAGGCGCGATACGTATTTCAAGGACGTGCGTGTTACACTCACCACAGCTTCGGCGAGCGGTATCCACGTGGCGGCGAGCACCAGTAGGGCAAGGACGCAGGTGACTCGCAGGACGACGGGCGGCATCGGCCGCGAGATGCCGCGGCCCGCGTCGTCGGTGGTTGACGTTGCCGCGGCCCTGGGCCGCATCGTGCTAGGTCCTCCTCCTCTCTCTACCACCTTCGCTTGTCCTACGGACGATTCCGAGGGTTCTCTCTCTCTGCTACCGGTCCTTCCTGCGGCCGTTGTTCCTCACGGCCCCCGAGGTGAGCGGCGCCCAGAGTCCTGCTGCTGCCTCAACGGCAACGTGCGGCAAGGCAGTATCGCGCTGGCGTGCGCGCAACCGTGCCGTTAAGCTCGCCGGTCAGCCTGTCGACGCACCGCGTGTCGAAGGGCCAGACAGACGGCTCGGTTGGCCCGTCCTCCTGATCGCTCGGCTCTACACACAGACGGGAGTACACAAGGCAGGCCTGAAGGCGGCGGTGGAGGTGTGCGCTCTCTTACTCTTGCCTCTTAATCTCTGTTCCTCCTTCTCTTTCATGCCATCACTCTCTTCCCCCGTCTCTCTGTCCCGCCCTCCCGCGCTCTCGTGTGTTCTCTTTCTCTATCTCGCGGCCTGTATCCTTGCGCGTGGTCGCGTCGGACTCCCGCGGCACTCTCGCGGCAGTGGCGCGGCCTCCCTGACGGGCCCCGCTCTACCCCGCGGCACGGCTAAGTTCCGTAAGCACGGCACCGAGAGCTCGGAACCGGCGCGACCGACACCGGTAGGGTCCCTCGCGGCCGCGCAACAGTCCTCGTGCGACGCGCGACCGCGCGAGCGAACGTTCGGGTCTTCAGAGGCAACCAGCGGCACTCCGCCTCCTCCTCCTTCACCTCCTCCTTCTTCTTCTTCTCTTCGGCTGCTTCTTCTTCGTTCCCCTACCCAGCAACCCCGGAGAGTTCGTCTGTCCGTTCGTTCTTTCTTCCTTCCTCCCCTTCCTCCCTCTTTCTCGCTCCTTCGCCTCCTTCGTGCTCTTCTTCTTCTTCTTCTTCTCGTCTCTCGGCAGGCTGGCAGGAGACTCTGATCGGCCTCTTCTCGCAGGAGCGAAAAGAGAAGAAGTGAGGAGGGGGGACCGATCTCCCCGTCGACGTCGTCGGGGAAAACGAACGGACGAAGCGAGTGAGCGCGCGGGCGAGACGTCGAGACCGTCGCGCGGAACCGAGAGAAGGCTCTCTCTTCTCGCCCGGTCCTTTCGGCGGAGGAATTCTAGCTGGCGTGGCTCGGCGCGACGGCCGCCTCCACCTTCCTTCCTTCCCTCCACCCGAAGTCCATTCAGAGCCCTCCCTGGATGGGACGGTCCGCACACACCATCGGTCTACTCGGTGCCGGGTTCCGCGCGATATTTTGTGACTGCCTGTCCGTGCAGTGCTCGTGCTTTAGCCTGTGCTTCTCGGCTCCCTAGACCCGTCGCGGAATAGGGAGGTCGACATGACCCGGTTGGGATTGCGGTGAGTCGCCACTGATTTTATTTTTCTCTCTGGTTTCGTTCCTCAGCTTCAAATCCTCCTCTTGTGGCCGTCGATTCGACCGATTTCCTCGGCTTCCTCTTCGTCTACTTTTTATCTCCTCTTTCTCTTCTTCTTCTTCTACCTCCTCTTCGTCCTCTGAGTCTTCTCCTTGCTGTCCGTTACTCTTCTTGGCCCGTCGCCCAAGAGACAGGTCGACCGCGCTGATCACGCCACGGAGGGGATAGTTTCACCCCCATCTTGCGCGAGCTTCCGCGAAAAGGTGAGAGGACTCCAAGGACGACTATGAGGTGAACTCGCGTGCGCGCAGGAGATTGTCCTTTGGATACGGCTTTGGTGCGGACCCACCGTGTCTCCCACGACTCTTCTCCTTTTCCGCGCGTGATTTTTCCTCTCCGCGTAGCCACGCGAGTTCTTTCACCTTGGGTGGCGAATGTATTTACTCCGTTTCTCGTCTCAATGACGTCGGAACTTCGCGAGCGAATTCCTCCGACGAAGCCGTTCGCTTCGCACTTTGAACCCGCAGCAGTGAACTCGCGCGGGTCCAACGTAAGTGCTGAATTGTGTCGTACGAGTGACACTCGCGGAAGGGGTGCACCAGTGATGTCGCGTACTTAACTTCTCAAATCTCAAATCTGTTTCCGGGAGGATCAGGCTGTGACCCATGCCGACATCACGGAGTGTGGTCTCGTAGCGAAAACCCATGATATCCATTTTCGCGCGACTTTCACCCTCTCCTTCGTGACTCCACATCTTTTTGCTCCTAACACTGATCCGATCTCACGTTGCGCCTCTCCGAAATGACATCGCGATGCAATTCTGCTTTCAGATTCGTCGCATCCGCAGTTTGGCTGGCCGGGATTGTTAGTGGTGCGGTATGTACTCACGAATTCATGATTCACTTCCGTTTCTCGCGAGTGATCGCAACATTATCGCGCGTCGTGACGCGAAATGTCAATTAATAGCCTTTAATAGGCCGTGAGTTACAACTTCGCTCGGGAATCATTCGGCGTTGTTCAATGATGATGTACGCGCGCGCGCACGTGCGATCGCCAGCGTCAATTACGTCGACGTTATAACAACTCGGTTGACACATCTCTTAACCACGAAAGAGAATGTAGCGAGAAAAGTCTGGCGGCCCGGGGGATGGTGTGTTCCCACGTCGTTACGCGCGGCGTGCTGTTGTCGCAGATGTATCTTGCGGTACATCGTGGTCGTGCGACCGGTTCGACTGCTCGGCTTATTTCGTCGGTCCATTCATTGGCGTTTCACATCGCGTGTATGTACCTTGCCATCCACTTGATGCACGCGTCCGCGACGAGCTGGTGCGCGTTCGTTGCGGCGGCACGCAGCACGTGTACCCACGTTTGCACGTTCCATCGCGTTGTTCGCTGTTCACGGTCGTTTGTTTGTCGAGTGAAAAAGCCAGTTCCGAATCGAGGGGATCGCGTTTCAATCGTGGTTAGGCCGTTTGGTATTGTTGGCTGGTGGCGCGTGCAGTTTACACACATCACATACACATGATACCATCAACACCACCTGCAAAGAAAGATTTTGTCTCGCGATTGCCGCACGCGCGCATATTCGCGCCCGAATATAGGAAAATATATTAGAAAACAGATGTTTCGCCACGCGAAACGGGAGTAAGCAGGAGTTGTTTTGGGCGAATAAGTGCACGAATTTTAATTTCACGAATTTTAATTTCGCGAGACTCTTTCGCGCTGGACGATCTCTTATTCAGCGAGCACTGGTTAGTCTGATTGTCGTAAAAATGTTATAATTTTCTGTCGATTCGAGACGCTTTGTTATGTGTACACGCACATTTCGAAGTTTACATTTCGTCCGCATGTGTGAAATGTCACAAGGGGGAGAAACAACCGAGGGGGTGGGGGAGAGGCTTTCGTACAAGTGGCGGGGTCTGTATTTTAAGCGCGTTACACGCTGCTACGGCGGCGATAAGAGTTTTATGGAAAATTACCAGGCGTGTGACAAATATAGCGGTGATCGTAGAGAGGACGTAATAAAAGTGACCAGGGTTTCGCTAACTCGAGCCGTCGGTATTAATTGGTTGTTAGTTAGTCGCGTTGCATCACGTTTCCACTGTGGCTGATAAGTTTCGCGACAGAAAAAGGGAGAAAAAGAGAGAGAGAGAGAAAGAGAGATACGACGTAACGATTCGTTGTTTCATACTCTATAATTATATGCTGAATAACTATGTGCTTGATGAAACTTAAAAGAGAAAGAAGCACTGAAAATCTCGAAGAAATGTTTTGCTCGAGCAATTTTCCATCGTTCATACCCCGAGAATGTTTATTCACATCCGGTCGTAGCCCATTGAAATCAGGATGCGACAAAGTGGGCGACTTTATCGTCTACTGAATGAAACGCGTGTTCGGAGCACGTGCAGTATTCGTTGCTACAATGTGTGGTACGTCGTTTTACAGAACACATCATTTGTATCGCAAAAAATTCTATTTTTTTTTAAAGATCGACATTAGAAACGCTTTATAAACTGCATATGGTGACAGAGCGATCGGCATCGTTTATGTTGGCGAGTTTTACGCGATTTACAAGGTCGTTTAGTATTTTTCGCCAGGATGCCATCGCACAGTAGCATCCGACTGCCAGGTGCTTCCTCTGTCATAGCCATTCGCGCCGCCCTTCCGCGGCCTTTCTTCGACCCAGATCCTCGGGATGCTCGGTCGTAACCAAATAGCACAGTAGGAAACGACTGGGGTCTGCCAGTAACATTATGTCAGCATGGCTTCGCTGTCTCTATTTGATCTTTCTTGCAATATGCTAGTGCTACAAACTAGTGGGATCTCCAGATTTAATGGTCTTTCAAAGTTTCTCCCTTTGAAGACTTTTCTCTTTAAAGATCTCTCGAATATCTGTTATTAACGATAAAAATATTGCTGTCGCACACGTGGGAATCATTGCTTCTATAAACTGTCGCTGAGATCAGTCTATAAAATTTATACCTACATTCACGCTAGTGAATTGTGCTGGTGTTCGACTGCGAAGCTTCGAAATAACGTCGGGGAAAGAGGATAATCGACACGGCTACCGTAGGATAAGTTACCATCGCACTCTGGTCTACTCCCCTGCTATTGTTGTGACTCCCTCCTTCTCAGTCTTTTACCTCCTCGACGAGAACTCGCGACAGTAAGACGGCAAGGTGTTAGATCCGAAATAGGGCAGTCGTCTCCGACTGACCAGTCCGCCTACGGAGCCGTAACTGCGCTCGCTGTAATTTTATTACAGCCGCATACGCGCGCGTACAACGCGCACGCGAGCCCAGCTTAGTCACTACTGGAAATAGTCGGCAATTGAGCTCAGGACTTGATTTCCCCGTCTCTCTCTCTCTCTCTCTCTCTCTCTCTCTCTCTCTCTGTCTCTCTCACAGAGAACTCGCCGGAATCCTGTCGGGGGCGCGCCGGGATAAAATCGCTGGCCGATTCTCGTCCACCTGTTCACGTCGCGTTTTGTATCCCGTGACACTTGCTTTTTCGCGCGATCTCATTCGCAGTGAAATTTTCACTCCGAATGGAGGGTCATTTTGCGGATTATTCTGAGCCCGTTCAACACTTGGTGCAATTTGCACTGTGGAATACGAGAAATTGGCCCGCGTAAATTCTTCCGCGGATACATCCCCGAACAGAAATCGCGCTCGGTGAAATTATTCTGCACTTGTCTATCATGTGCCGCACGCTTCGAATCTGTCTCGTCAGCGATATTGTCGCGTAGGTAGATAGGTGGGCTTACCGTGGAGGAATTGCCGCGTTGGCTTGTGATATCAGAACGGCGATATTTGAAACTGAGATCTGGAGTCCAAAGATTATAGCATATTTACAAAGGAATTTCGCATGTAAGTCACTTCTTCCATAACATCAACGATCTCATGTGGATATTTCAATGGTTATAGAGTTATAACGCAGTTTTCCGCGTTTAAAAAGTCACAGCGTTCCGGCAAATGAGGAGGAAATGATAAGTTTTTATTACTCATCCGGTAATAAAAATTTGATGAAAAAATAAATTTTATATTACAAAATAGAAGTTTAAGAGTAAACAAACAATGCGGTTTTCGTTTATCTGTTCCGGCATACCCCGCGGCACGTGAAATTTATTGAAGATCATACATTCAAATTGAAAGTTCGACTGCGTCCACTGATTACCGTACGGAGTACTGTATCGTAATCGTAGTCAGCATTACAAAATTCATAAACTCGACAACCTGGTACCGACCAGGTCGTTCCTGTTAATTAATTGAATTCCAAATTTCTCCGCGCGCGCGTCCCTTAAACGTCCCCGATAAATTCCCCGTCGCTTCAACGAGCGAGATTAAAATCGGCGGACGCATCGGAATCTCGCCATCCGACGCCCGGCCCCGCCGCCCTGGCGGGCGCATTATGCTCATGAATGCGCGTGGTACCGCCACGGGATCAGAAAAAATCACGAGCAACGAATTAGCGTATGCCCCGTCCCACGTAGAGTTAACGTCTGCGTCGGCCGCGGTCGTTAAGCACGTCCGACTTGGATGTGACGGCGAAAGATGAAAAAGACACACGAGCGGGTGGGCGAGAGCGGACGAACGGGCAGGTAGGTCGGTCAGGACGCGATAGAAAAAGAAGAAGACAGCGAAGCACGAAGAAGAGAGGACGAAGAGGAAGAAGGTCGTCGGGGCAGGGAGGGACGAGGAGAGACACGCAGAATGGGACCGTTCGTCTCGCGGCCGGTCACAATATACACGGCTCTTACGTCGTTGCGTAATCGCGGATTCACGAAGGCGGCCAAGATAGGCGATAAAAGGGACAATTCTTGAACCGTCACGAAAAGATATCTCGTATCTGGAAATAAGAGGGAGAGGAAAAGAGAGAAAGAGAGAGAGAGAATTGGGTTAGCGTTTCGTTAAACGCAAAATTGCTGGCGAACGCGTGGACCGTTCTCGCACGAGCGAATTTCAATCAGCCGGTCGATCTAGTAGAGCCGATCGCTGACTTTGGTCGCTCGACTGCCTGTCCGTCGTCAACCATCGGTGTAATGGCCGCAAATCGACCGATCAGTATCGAAGGGCCTTGGTTTGGCTCGCGGGACGTTAACCTCGGCACGGTCACGGTGCGGTATCACGCGTTGCGAACTTAATGTGCATGATTTTCGACCTGGTCTCTTTTTCTCTCCCTCTCTCTCCCTCTTTTGCTCTCTCTCAGGGCAAGTGGAGCCCTTCGGCTAATGTGGAAACACGTTATTGCATCTTTGAAGTTGCGGGCGTATGCTTATGAGCCCTTTCGATGATAGAGACATTAACGTTACCTTGACGCCCCGGAAATGACGTGATCTTGATTGAATTATATCAATTTCTCTTTAATGTAAATTTGATCGAAATGTACTGTTTTGACTGATACTTATTATTAACATTGAATATTCCGTCGAACTTTAGGATAAAGATACAGAGACAACGCGAGAGCACAAATATAAAGTGAACTCTTAACCACTTTTTCTCAACTTCATCAACTTTCTATTTTCTCTCTGAAGAGCGCTTTTTACACGTTTCTTACGGCTTCAAGTCATACCATTTACGCGTCGTTTAAGACGTTTAAGACGTGTAAATTAAAATGTAATACATTTAAACGTGTTATAAATGATGTGATTTAAAACGTCGAAAGTAGTAAAAAACATGCAAAAAGAGATCCGATAATAACATACTTGGATTTGCAATGTATGCCGTTTCCCATAGACATTTTGCAATTATAAGATGCGTTCGTTATTCATTTGGACGCTTTTTTGCTAACGGCACGTTGTCGTAAGACATAAAAGAGCAGCTTGTGCTCCGAGCGATTTGTATCCGAGATTGAAAGTGCTAAGCGGCCTTCTAATCCACGCATTATCCAGCGCGGCATCAGCGCCCGCGCGCAGGCTGAGTTATCATCTGCATAACTCATGAATCGCGTACAACGTCGGGCAGGATAATTTCACGGTTTGCAGATTCGCAGCGTGTGCGGCGCGTTCTCCCTATATCGAGCGAGCGATCCATTGTTGAACGATGGGTTTATCATTGAGACGAAAGCCCGCAGTCTGGCTACGTTTACCGACCGACACGAGCTACTTCCGCTCGCAGCTTTGATTTCTGTTTCCTCCTTTCACGCGATCCGCGCGAAGCACGAAAGGATGACGTATGGGCGCGCAATAAGTCGAAATTGAATCTATCGGCGGGGGGAACGCGACGATTTCGCGCTTTGGCGCGAGCTGCGCGCGATTTACGAGGCGTATCTCCGTATCATCGGATTTCATGATGAATCAAGCCCATCTGAATTGGAATCAGACGTGGGATTAATGTCCGACGGATAGATAAGTCGGCGGGGTAATTTCGGGGGCAATAATTCCGATCCTCACGATGGAGCTTTGCAACTTGGAGTGGATCGGATCTCCCTTCCTGCGATAAATCGATAGTACTTTTTATCCCCAAACGCGTTACTGTACAGAATTACAGGGCTTAAAAATAACATTCCAATAGAAATTCTTCCAATTGTTTCCGAACCTTTCCGAGGAAAGCGATTATTATACATACCGAGGAAAACAGATGATGTTTCCATCATCAAGTAATGTTCCATACATTTTTTTTCTTTCGATTCGCCGCACTTGCAGAATTATTGAGAGCGCTTTGCAAGATATATCTCGACACGTACCGTTCAAAAGCGTGATATCCTAGTTGGAAATAAATCGCGCGAGTCCGAGGGTATAAAAAATGATCGAGTGACAAACCGTTATTGCAGTCAATCGCAATCAATCGCGGTCTCTATCGTGTCACGTGACGTTTTCGAACACTTCAATTCTCTGTCATAAATTCAAATTCATGCGCGCGGTATATGGTCTCTAATTCGCCCCTTCGCGAATCTTCTTCCTGCCGTCTAATCGGGGCGGGTTAGTCGGCGTTTCGGGTCCCACGGTGTGCGCCGATGAATGAAGTTTTAAAAGGACATTATCGTCCTGCTATCGTTGTGCGCGTTGCATATGCGGCACAGACGCGTACAGCCACTCCGAGAGCGGTACGTCATCTCGGAACGATAACTGCCTATCTCCCCGCGCTTCCTGCCAGCGCGTGCCAGCGCTGGGAATACGAAAAAAGGACAAAAACATGAAAACGAGGGCAAGACAATGACTTTCTGGGAAAAACGATGACGCGCGTTCTCGACGCGAATCTCGACGCAACTGCCTATGTTTGCTGCGAAACCGCTTTTCGCGGAGGAGGACGCATTGAAGCGGTCCGTTTCATTGATCTTACCGATGTTCTTGTTGCTTTTCGCGGAGGAGAATGCACTGAAGCGGTGCGTCTCATTGATCTTACCGATGTTCTTGTTGCTGATCTTGTCTTCGCATTGAATATCGTTGGTCTTGTCGCGACAATTGCGCGCAATATATTGTCCCGTCGTTCCCAGCGAAACGGAAATGATTTGTAATCGCGTTCGTCGCAATATTAAGCGATTGAGGAGATTCCGAGACTGAAAGAAGCTCGTTATTTATTTCCACGGATCCTTGTAAGTTTAATAATCTCGTGTTAATCTCGCGTCTCCCGCCGTGAAACGGAACTCTTATGAACGTTTCCGTCCGACGACGGCAATTAATCTCGGTAAAATCGGCAGTAAGAAACTCGGCGAGGAAGAAGATATGAAGACATTGGAAGTGATCACTAACGCCAGGCTGGTTTTATCTTCTTCACGGAGTCGCGCGGAATCGGTCGGTAAAAGCGTTCCTTTTTGCCCGGCCGGACCGTTCGCCACGGGAACGCCGTAAGAACGCGATGCACTCGGTCGATAAAGCGTAAATCTTGGCCGTGCGAAATGCGAGCTCGTTAAATTTACGGCCAAGCCGCTTGTGTCATGGAACGCATACCTATAAATCTCGGAAGAATACCATTTAATGGGCGAGCGCGGGGGATAACAGGGCGACTTAATGTTATACGAGTAAACCGTCATTCGCATGCGCTCTCGCGTGGGAGCAATCTCACCGTTGAAGCTTCTGCAAATTAAGAAGACGCGTACGTCGCTTGCCGTTATTAATTCTATGAATATAATGCGTCGCAGGTCCGACTGAAATCAAATTTGCACGGGGCGTGCCATATTGATATGCCACGAAAAACTCGACGCCAAGCTGATATTCCATTCAATCGCGTCGCCGTCCGAGATCTCACGCTCCGCTTGTTTTCTTTCTCTTCTTCTTCGGAGTATTGATTTTTCCGGCTCTCGATTGGACGCGAATACGATATTATGGATTACGTCTTGGCGCGTCTGCAATACTACAATGAGATTCGATTACTACATAGAGCGTACCAAAGAATATACTTTTCTTCTTCACCTCTCTCTCTCTCTCTCTCTTTCTCTTTCGGAGTTTTGATTTTCCCGAGTCTCTCAATTAGACGCGGATGCGATGTTATCGATTGCATTTTGGCGCGGATGCAATGTTACAATTAGACTCGCTTGCCGCTATATAGAATATGAGATCTCGTTCACCGAGGGTCGTGTTTCGCGCAATGCAATTCTTTCATCGGCCTGAAAGCGATTTTGGGTGCGAATTGCGGTAGGCTTACCGAATAATGCGCGAATCTTCGTGTTACGTTTCCTGCATAGGAGAATATCCCGGTACCGAGAATATCCCGTGTTATTTACGAGCGAGTACTGAAAGTGATCGATAAACGAAAAACGGGGATTATTTGCAATGGGGATCGTAGTTGTATATCGTGTATGATATTTTATAGTACGGTGCTTCGGAAGATATAGTTTTGAAATTCCTGAACACACGTGGTTTTCTATCACACCCGTTAATCGCAGTATTATTGCTCGAACACACTTTGCTCTACGAGCTTGACAAACGACAATTTGTTGCCCCTCTTTTCATCCTCTATGTCTCGCGCACACCTGTATCCTCTCAGTTCGCGGCTGATATCGTGTTTTATTGATCGTACCGGCGCCGCGCGCACTTTTCCAATTCCATTTACGGGGCTTTTCATTTGTCTGAATATTTGTTTTAGCAATTTAATCACACATCATGGCCGAGTCCACCGCCGGTCGTGCCGCTAGGAGGGCGAGGTGATATTCCAGGAAAGCATGAAAATGATAGCGATGACGATTACAACAATCCGTTGGGATGGAAATATACAGATAGAGGGTTCATCGCAGGTAACGAAGGTTCTTCTTTATGCTTTTTTTCCGGTCATTGTGCGAGAAGAGTATCCGCTATACATCTTCTCTTTAATCTATTCAGTAATCTATTCATCTATTCATTAATCTATTCATACGTTAGCAATATAAAAAAATTATGTTGTCGAATTTGCGACAGGAATAGTATGGGATATCGTTGCATCTTATACTTTCATGAAATAAACACAGTTTTATATAAAAAAGAAATTTTGCATATAAGGCGTTCAAAAGTCGAATTTACATGAAATATGTTTTCGTATAAAAAAGCACGGTACAAAAAAGTTTTTACGCAAGATTTTGTGCTTATTCTCTTAAAATGAATCAGTCAACATCACTGAAAACAGTGAATGTACACTGATTTACACTGAAAGTGCTCAGTGCTATACTTATAACTGATATCAGTGACTATTCACTAATTCACTTTAAGAGAGTAGTGCATAAAATTACAGTCGATCAAGAAATCTGAATGCGTTCCAAACGCCGTTCCGTGCAGACTGTTTGCCTACGAGCTGAATATCAATTTTCGTTGCGTGCAGCGGGCCGCGTTCTGCCGTTCTCTGAAATTTGGCAATTCGTAATAGGGATAAGTGCCGGAAACAGTATCATTAGAATCCCGCCGATTACGTTCACCAATTGGCATGTCCAGGATACGAGGACGCAGAAAGGCGGAACGGCAGTTCCACTGATTATCACAGTCCTGACGAGAGGACTCGGCAGTGGAACTACTACAGAAACCGGAGTGATCCTTATGGTCAAGGTTACTCGGGCCGGTATCCTTACGACCGAACGGGTTCGCGGGACGACAGATACCCTGACAGTGGCGGCACGTCAGGATCTGGAATTGACGAAAACCGACCGGGTGGTTATCCCGATAGTCGTGGCGACGGATACGACACATACAGTGGTAATTGATCCTGACTTTGTTAATTATCATAGACTGCAGCGCATTTATCTTTACTTCCGGGGCTGCTCTAAATCTTACACACTGATTTATTATTCCTTTACTGTACTACATGCATCCGTATATCCTTAATCATATGCAACCATCTTCTTTCAGGTGCCGGCGATAACGAGCGAGAAGGAGGAGCAGGAGGAGAAGAAGGAGGAGGAGGAAGAGGCTACCATTATGGTCGCGGACAACAAGGCGATCCTTACGGCAGCAGAGATCCTCACCCAACTGAAGATCCTTACGCAAACTATAACTTTACCGAAGATGATCGCGGCAGAAATGTTGGAGATCCTCATGGCCGAGGATCAACAAACTTTCCGCGTCCGACGTGGACAGGTAGAACCGACGAATCTTACGGTCGTGGAAGCGGGGACACTTATGGCCGCGGAGGCGGTGAATCTTACGGCGGCGTTCGCGGGGGCGGTGATCCTTACGGCGGCGCTCGCGATGGCGGTGATCCTCGTGGCGGTGATCCTCGTGGCGGTGATCCTCATGGCGGCGCTCGCGGTGGCAGTGATCCTTACGGCGGCGCTCGCGGTGGCGGTGATCCTTACGGCGGCGCTCGCGATAGCGATGATCCTCGTGGCGGTGATCCTTACGGCGGCGCTCGCGGTGGCGGTGATCCTCACGGCGGCGCTCGCGGTAGCGGTGATCCTCGTGGCGGTGATCCTCACGGCGTCGCTCGCGGTGGCGGTGATCCTCGTGGCGGTGATCCTCATGGCGGCGCTCGCGGTGGCGGTGATCCTTACGGCGGCGCTCGCGGTGGCGGTGATCCTCACGGCGGCGCTCGCGGTAGCGGTGATCCTCGTGGCGGTGATCCTCACGGCGTCGCTCGCGGTGGCGGTGATCCTCGTGGCGGTGATCCTCATGGCGGCGCTCGCGGTGGCGGTGATCCTTACGGCGGCGCTCGCGGTGGCGGTGATCCTCACGGCGGCGCTCGCGGTAGCGGTGATCCTCGTGGCGGTGATCCTCACGGCGTCGCTCGCGGTGGCGGTGATCCTCGTGGCGGTGATCCTCATGGCGGCGCTCGCGGTGGCGGTGATCCTTACGGCGGCGCTCGCGGTGGCGGTGATCCTCGTGGCGGTGATCCTCACGGCGGCGCTCGCGGTGGCGGTGATCCTTACGGCGGCGCTCGCGGTGGCGGTGATCCACGTGGCGGTGATCCTCACGGCGGCGCTCGCGGTGGCGGATATGGTGGCAGTTATGGTGGCAATGGTGCCGCCGGAGATAATGAAAATTACCCGAGTAATTACCAGGCGGTACCGATGCCGGGAGCACCCCGAAACTGCACAGGATCGGGATCTGGACAGTGCTGTATACCCAAGTGTTTCGCCGAGAAAGGATCGCGGGTTGGTTTTCGAGGGTCGATAATAAAACGATCGTTAAAATATTTGAAGAAAATTGCGGCTTTTAATCACGATATTCTTATTCAGGGACCACCGGGAGTATTAGGACCGCAAGGTCCCAAGGGTCAACGAGGATTTCCAGGAACAGAAGGTCTTCTAGGACCCAAAGGACAGAAAGGAGATCCCGGTCCACAGGGGCCGCACGGTATCAAAGGTGACAGAGTACGTATTCTCTGCCTCTACGCGGTCGTATTTTACGCGTTGTAATTCTTCTCGAGAAATAATTTTGCATTCTTCAAGGGAAAAATGGGTATGCCCGGTTTTCCCGGTATAAACGGCGTACCTGGAGTACAAGGACCTCCGGGACCAACCGGTTTGCCCGGTGCCGATGGTTGCAACGGAACAGATGTAAGTATTCATATCATATATATCGTGGAATACTTAATATTTTAAACTTGTATTTTTTTATTATTTGATTTACGAGTGATATTCAAATCATAATAAAAAAATCTTAAAATATGTGGTATTTGAAGGACCTCATGTAATAAGATTATCTACAATAAGGTCCCAAAACGTATGTCAAGCTGACAATACGTGTTTTAGGGTGCTGCCGGACGTAAAGGTATTCCTGGAGAACCAGGACCTCGTGGCTTTCGAGGCGTGCCTGGTCCTAAAGGAGAAAAAGGTCAACCTGCGTACGCTGGTTCTTTCCCGGTAGGACAAAAGGGTGAACCTGGTATGGACGGTGTGAGAGGTCCTCCTGGACCGCCGGGTTTACAAGGAGAACGGGGTTTGTCTGGTCCGAAGGGTGAACGAGGTCCTTACGTGAGTATCGTTCAAATTCACCGAGTTTACATTTTTTTACGTTCTTACAGCTTACATATGATGTTATGTGTAAATTCAGGGAGCTTCTGGCGTACCAGGTCCGAAAGGAGCGAAGGGAAACATGGGTCTCGGATTTGAAGGGTTGAAGGGAGACAAGGGTCAAAAGGGAGACCCAGGACCTCCAGGCACAACCGCGCCTATCATGCCGTTCGAGGGTGTCAGAGAAGTAACAGGACCGCAAGGAGAAGCAGGACATAAAGGAGATAAAGTATGATAAAGAGAAATATAATTGATCTTCTCGTGCTACGGCATCGTTTAACTCGAGTAACGTTTAGGGTGAAATGGGACCGGAAGGACAGAAAGGCGAACCAGGTTTCATAGGCGATCATGGTATACCCGGAGGATCCGGCCAGAAGGGAGAAAAGGGTCTCCCGGGAGCACCAGGTATTCGTGTAAGTATATTTATATTAATGGCTTTTATGGTATTCAAATGGAGCTATTAGATGTCATTAATTGATCTTACTGAAATGGATAAGATAGCCTGTAAATTAATAAAAGTAATCTACTATCATTGTTGGATTTTAGGGCAGAGATGGTTTCTCTGGACCACCAGGACCTCCTGGACGAAAGGGTGATCGAGGTATCGATGGATTGGAGGGACTTGGAGGGCGTCCTGGTAAAAAGGGAGAACCTGGTCGAGACGGGTCGATGGGAGTCCCAGGATTACGAGGGCCTCCTGGACCACCAGGAGTAAGTTTTAATCTCAAAATTTTAATAAAACTATTTTCAGAAAATTTGTACATAAATACAATTATATTATATTTATATAATTACATTAATATTTAGCTCTTTCGTGATTTAAATATCGGAAATACTATTTAATTTTTTGAACATTATACTGTAGGGTGGTAAAGGAAGACCAGGACCGCCAGGACCAAAAGGACCGCGCGGTTTCCCAGGAGCTACCGGGCCACGAGGAGCGGATGGTTATTCAGGAGATCCAGGACCAAGAGGTCCTATAGGAATACAAGGAGGTCCCGGAATACCCGGAATTCCAGGTCCGGAAGGTTTACCAGGCGAGAAAGGTGGAAAAGGTGAGCCTGGCTTAACGGGATTCCCAGGAGGCGCAGGACCACGCGGATTTGACGGACCACCTGGACCAGCGGGACCACGAGGACCGCCGGGAGAGAAAGGATTATCGAGAATAGTAAGTACATGATTAAATTTTGCTATTCCAAATTTATACATTATCAAAGTGCTATTTGAAAAATTAAAAAAAATTATTATATCGTGTGATAGGGACCAAAAGGGTTGGACGGAGTGCCTGGTTTTGACGGAGAGAAAGGTCAAAAAGGAGAACGCGGTTACCCGGGTGTCCGAGGTCGACCGGGAGACTCTCTGGATGGTATCCCAGGAGCACCGGGCGCACCGGGTGAGACTGGAGAAGCAGGATCGCCAGGAAGAGATGGCATACCAGGATTGCCAGGAGGGTCCGGTGAAAAAGGAGATATCGGCGGCCGCTGTCAGGATTGTTTGCCGGGATTGCGAGGTACTAAAGGAGACCGCGGTACGGATGGTATCCCAGGACTTACAGGACCTCGAGGACCGCCCGGAGAACGCGGTTTCCCCGGAGAACCGGGGATGGATGGATTACCAGGCGCGATCGGACCTCCGGGACTTCCAGTACGTTAATAACACTGCTTTTATTAATTTGTTCTTTAAATTTTGATGACGTTATTTGGATATTTATACAATAATAGTATAATTCCGATAAATAATTTTTTTGGATTCAAAATATCAAATTTCTCTTTAACATGTAAAAAACTAAATAATAGATAAGTAATTACACACACACACACACACACACACACATATATATATATATATATATATATATATATATATATATATATATATATATGTCACATTACTTTTGTATCCACATATGCGACTGCAATAATGAATTATTAAATAAAAACAAGTATATCAATTTTTCAATAAGGGAAAAGATGGTATACCCGGTGCTCCAGGACATCAAGGAGAACCCGGAGCCCCAGCGTTAGTTACACAGAACATGCTCAAATTGGAGAAAGGTGATAAAGGTGTGCGTGGCGAGTCTGGTCGACAAGGTCCGCCAGGACCAGAAGGAGCTCCGGGAGAAAAGGGTAGACCCGGATTCGAAGGTTTCCCAGGGCTTAAAGGAACTCCAGTAAGATTAACTTCGAAAGTTGTCAATATCTGTTTTGGAAGATTCTTTCTTTTGCATGTCGATTTGTAAACTCATCACTTCCAGGGAGACCGCGGCTTTCCTGGACAAGATGGCACTCCTGGGAAACCGGGTATTCCTGGATATAAAGGAGAGAAAGGTTTAAGTGTGAAAGGTGAACCCGGAGAGTCAGGTCGATCAGGTTCTCCAGGACAAAAAGGAGAGCCTGGTCTATACGGATCAAAGGGTGAACCTGGTAAGATTTAATTAATATTTCTTAATTTTTGAGTTGTTTTAAATCTTTGAATATTTATTTATCAATTTACTTGTATTTAGGTCAATGTCCACCAGTTCACTTGATGAAGGGTTTCAAAGGTGATCGAGGTTTAACCGGCGACAAAGGAGAACCCGGGCCTCCTGGTGGGGATGGAAGACCCGGTGATAAAGGATTGCAAGGTTTCGAGGTACGTATATTTATATAACCGAGCAAAGACTTATAAAAAAATTATTATATATCTTATAAAAACTATTATATTTTTAATTTTGTAAGTGAACGAATTCTTTCAATTGCACTCTTAACGAATGATTTCTATAATAATCTAAACTTTCATTTCGACAGATATTATTCTACAAGATATCTTGGAACAATATCTGATATAACTGTATCATACACACTCCTTTATGGAATAACATAATGTTATTAAAAGTATAATGTAATCATCTAAAAATTGCAAATAGGGCCCATCTGGTCCACCTGGTTCAATTGGTGCCCCTGGTCCCGTCGGTCCAAGAGGATTACCAGGTCCGCGCGGTGACAAAGGCGATGTGGGTCCTATGGGTTTCCCGGGAGAACCTGGTCGAGAAGGACCTAGAGGATTCCCAGGTGCACCAGCTCCGAAAGGTGATAAAGGAGAACCTGGTATATCAGTCAAGGGTAGTCCTGGTCTAACTGGTCCTCCGGGTGAAAAGGGAGAAAAGGGTCTTCCTGGACCACCAGGCAAAGAAGGTCAAATTGGTTACCAGGGATTAGCGGGCTTTACTGGCGAAAAAGGAGACATCGGTGCACCGGGAATAAACGGTTTGCCTGGAGCGCCTGGTGAGAAAGGAGACACCGGTCTGGTTGGTCCTCCTGGTCCTCCGGGCGTTGCTGGTATTCCAGGAGCCGACGGAAACAAAGGTACGATATGATCATCGTGACTTTTGCTGATTGCTGATACCATTTCATGTATAAAATGAAAATTTTCTAAACTAATTTTTTTGTAATCGAAATTCTACAAAGTGTATTAATGATTATTTGATCCACAGGTGAACCAGGATTACCGGGAGAACCCGGTAGAGCCGGTCTCCCAGGATTCCCAGGCGCAAAGGGTGATCGCGGTGAACCAGGTATCGATGGACCAAAAGGATATCCCGGTAGACGAGGTTTGCCTGGATCTCCAGGCATACCCGGTATGGAGGGTACACTGGGTATTAAAGGAGAACGTGGTGAGAAAGGTTCACCAGGATTCCCTGGATTACCAGGTATGGAAGGAAAGCCTGGTCGTCCTGGAATATCTGGGATGAAAGGAGATCAAGGACCACATGGAGCACCTGGTTTATCAGGATCTATCGGTCACGACGGATTGAAGGGTGATACTGGTCTACCGGGTCTACCGGTAAATATCTTCATTGCACAATTTAGAAAAAGAGTCGCTTGTGATTATGCCTATGTGGTATTAGGAATATATCTGTAAATGTAAATGTATCATATTATATCCAATATTTTTCATTATGTAATCAGGGAAGGAAAGGAGAACCAGGTCAAGTTTCGGAGAAAGGACAGAAGGGTGAGCCTGGAATGCCTGGAATACGAGGTCCTCAAGGTCCTCCGGGTCGAGATGGAGTCGATGGTGCGAAGGGCGAACCTGGTGAACCAGGTATCGGCCGTGACGGAAGGCCTGGATTGAAGGGTGAGCGAGGTATCCCAGGTCTAGATGGAACGCCAGGATTCCAGGGTCAAAAGGGTGACACTGGTGTACAAGGATTCGCCGGAATAAAAGGAGATTTGGTATAGACTTATTTTTATAACGATATTTCGAGACATTAACGAAATGGTATAATACTGTTTTTCTTTGTCATTATTATTGACAGGGTTCACCAGGTGCATCTGGAGAAGTAGGACCGCCAGGCATAGATGGAATTCCTGGCGAAGATGGTGATGTCGGGCCACCGGGATCGCCAGGTTTTCCTGGAATCGATGGTGATATGGGATCCCCTGGTCGACCTGGACTCGATGGTGTCAAAGGAGATCGCGGAATGCCAGGTATAAGGAATATATCAGTTTTTACAAATGCCATTCATTGCATTGGGTTGTAATAGAAATAAGAAAATGCGTGCCTTATGAAATTAAAATTTAAGTTGAAATTAGATTATTGTAAAACCAAATAAAATTGAATTTCAGGAATCGCCGGACTGCCTGGTATTCTGGGAGCACCTGGAGAGAAAGGAGATCGCGGTCCTTCAGGACCAACAATACAGATCAAGGGTGAAAAGGGTGAACCAGGTATTCCTGGATCACCTGGCATCACTGGAGAGAAAGGAGATCGAGGCTTGGAAGGTATCAGTGGATATGATGGCGAAAAGGGTGACAGAGGTCCACCTGGACCTGAAGGAGTTCCTGGACCTTATGGTACCCCTGGTCCTAAAGGTATGATCTTATTTAAGCAAAATGAAATTTTATTTAATTAAAATGAAAAGAATGTTTTCTCTCATGTTAAACTAAACTTCAAATTCTAGAAAACTTCATATATCGTAATTTCTTATTTATGCTATATTACAGAAATATTCTTCCGCAAACTTATTGAATTTTGTTTTTCATGTAGGTGATCAAGGAGCTCCTGGTATTCCTGGTGTTTCTGGAGTTACGATAAAGGGCGAGAAAGGTCTACCTGGCTTATTGGGCAAACATGGTAGAGACGGTATACCAGGACGACCCGGAGAAAAGGGTGAACGGGGATTGCCTGGTTTGCCAGGACCGAAAGGAAACGTTGGACCTTACGGACCGGTTGGACCACAAGGTGAAAAAGGCGAGCCAGGACCACAGGGTCTGACTGGAGTACCAGGACGCGATGGAGCTCGAGGTTTGGACGGTGCGCCAGGATTCTCTGGTGAGAGAGGTCCCAAAGGTGATCAAGGATCGCCTGGATTGTTCGGCGCTCCAGGACAAAAAGGAGAACCCGGTCCTACAGGTGAAATTTAAATACTTTGAGCCACTCAGATGCCCAAAAATATTACTATCGCAAAATGAAACGTATTTATCTTGACCTATATTAAAATACTAATAAAATCATTTATATTAGATATAAAAAAAGAAAAAAAGTATTTGGACTATATATCTAAACTATATGGATCGTCAATTTTCAGGACCAACTGGATTGGACGGAATCCCAGGTGAAAAGGGTGAGAGAGGTTGGGATGGTTTGAATGGTCCGCCCGGAGAAATTGGTCAGAAGGGCGATAGAGGATATACTGGCCAAATCGGTACGCCGGGTATTATCGGTTATGTGGGTCAAAAAGGTGAAAAGGGCGAAGATTGTATCGAGCCACCAATGGGACCGAAAGGAGATCGCGGATATCCGGGTATGATTACAAAAAGGATATTTGTAAAAACTTAATAATCTTAATACAAATTACATAAGATAATTATATAAGATAATTATATAAGATATAAAGATGAAGTATGCGTGAGACACCGATGATAATTTGATTCACAAGTACTCACGACATAAGTTTTCTCGAAAATTCAAAGCGCACGATGATACTTTTACATCGCGTTTCGACTTCAAGTCCATGTTTATGTGTCCATGAAATATTATTCGCGGACTATTCGCGCATCTATGCGCTAGAAATTAGAAATTTGAATGTAAATTTTTTTCGCAGGATCAAACGGACCACCCGGTCTACCGGGAGAGAAAGGACTTCCAGGTCCACCAGGTTTCCCCGGCTTGGATGGAATCAAAGGCGCTCCAGGTCTCAATGGCCAAGTCGGACCATCTGGCTTGCCAGGTTTGCCCGGACCGGTCGGCTCGCCCGGTTTGCCAGGTCTTCAAGGTCCCGTCGGTGCGCCCGGATTTATCGGCGAGCCCGGCGCACCTTGCGAAGAGACACCTGATTATCTTACCGGTATCCTTCTGGTGAAACACAGTCAAAGCCAAGCCGTACCGGCCTGCGAACCAGGACATATCAAGCTTTGGGAAGGATACAGTCTGCTGTATACTGATGGCGACGAGAGAGCGCACTCCCAAGACTTAGGTGAGTTTAACGTTAAAGCAAAAAAAAAAAATTGTGCACTTTTTAATTATAAAATTTCATAACACGATTTTAAAACAGATTATAGCTGAAGATAGCTAGATGATAACTAAACTGACTTAAAAATATTTAGGCCGATTTTTCTAAGATGAAGTGATATATTACAAATCATATGTCCGGTTTTCTTATTTCTTTTTTGCTTCCGCGTGAATTAATGAAAGAACACTGAGAAGATATTATGAGGAAGATATTAAGAGGAGATTTCTTCTTTTGATATTACAGTATTGTTATAAATTTTCTCGGGATTGATTTTATGAGCGCGTATTGCGACCTTCTGACCCGTACCTGTTATGGATGTAATTTAGTAGAGAGATTTAGTAGATTTGTCTCGATTATCAGGATTAAATTGTCACGTGTGACGTTGTCGCGCATTAACACGCGATTAAATTCATTATTCAACGAGTTTATATGCAGTGCGCCACATATTTCTGCGCGCTTATAGGCTGTTTAGCACCTATGCAGCTAATGCATATTTGTGGTGCGATAAATGTATTCGTATTTTTCCTTCGTTCAACTGCAATCGATGCAAGATTTATTAATATGAGTTGAACTTAAACCGTCGGGGAGAAGTTGTAATGACAGCAAGTCAGCGTCACACGCGTGATTCCGTTTTTTTTCTTTCAATATGTGTGCGCAATAATCGAACTTGTCGTATAAATTATCATGAAACAGGTTACGCCGGCTCGTGTATACGAAAGTTCGCGACGATACCCTTCCTGTTCTGCGACGTCAACAACGTCTGCCATTACGCTAGTCGCAATGATCGCTCTTACTGGTTATCGACCAATAGTCCAATTCCCATGATGCCCGTCGAGGAATCGGGTATAGAGGAATATATCTCCAGGTACGACTAGAGAATATTCGCTTTACATGTTGTATGCTGTCGAGATACTTGTCACGAGTGCAAAAGAAATAGTGCTGCATTCCTCGGAGAGGACAATTATGAAGCTGTGTCGTGAAGCGGATGTTCTATCAGCTATATGAAAAAATTGAAAGTCGGGTTTTTCTCGGTGAAAAATTCGCGGCATGATGCGCCGGTCTTTAATATTCGAGATTAAATATCGCGGCAATTAAGCCTTTTAATTTCAGTCACGAAAAAAAGATCAGTGAAAATTAGTCGAAAAGAACAAGCCGAACTTCATAATGTACTTTTGAAATCAAATTTATTATATTTAAAAAAAAAAATTTCTTTCCATTCTCGACGTTTTTCAAAACTCAATGGGAATACATCGTCGAGTAGATCGACAAACTGATGATTTTAAAACGATTTAACGAATTGAAAGAAATTCTAAAAATAGTGCCTAATTAATAAACATAGTACCGGTTACGAGAAAACAATGCAGAGTTGACATCAGTATTTTCAAGCCGAAATCCGACTCACATACTTATGTGTGTGGACTTATTCTTGACTTACTAATTCTGTTTTTCTTCAACGTATGAAACTTGTGAGTACGTTGGTACTCAGCGAATTATTTGTGCGGGTTTTTACTCATCAGATAACAATGATTTCTCTGGTATAGATGCGTGGTGTGCGAAGTTCCAGCTAACGTGATAGCGGTACACAGCCAAACGATAAGCATTCCAGAATGTCCGGCGGGATGGTCCGGCCTTTGGATCGGTTATAGTTTCCTCATGGTGAGTAATTTTATTCGTACACATAGACCATTTATATGCGTAACATATGCGAGCCAACTCACCCCCTACGCGTCTACTGCGTAGATCGATTCGTGATATAAAAAAATAACGTGACGAGGTTTTCTATAGAACTGAGTATTTGTACACTGAGAAAAAAAAAGCGGTTGACAAAATCGGCGGTCACCGGCCATCAAAGAAACATTGGATCAATTCAACAAAGTACAATGTTAATGCAACAATAAGTTGCGTTGAAATTACTATATCAAATTGTACTTTGTTGAATTGATCCAATGTTTCTTTGATGGCTGCCGATTTTGATAACCGTCGATTTTGTCAATTCAACCGCTTTTTTCTCAGTGTAAGATAGGTATTTTAAGGAATTACTCTATGATCATATATTAATATTTGCATTAAAAATTTTTATACATACAGAGTGTCCCGAATCTCCATGATGACTCTTGGTGAGAACGTAGAACGGATTAAGGTGAACAAGAAAATCCTGTGTCGTTTTGCGATATTCGCAATAATAGTCAAGATATTAATTAAAAAATATTAGTGAATGATTATGCGCAATATGGTAGATGAGCTGCAGTGGCGCCGTTGTATACTTATACATTAAATCAAACTGAACAAAAAAGTCCTTTACTATTTTATAAATTACCATATAGATTTTTGGATATTAATTAAAGAAAATTTATGCATTATGGTATACAATCATATATGTAACAATTTTCTTTAATATTTAAAAATCTATGACGGACCATTTGCAAAATAGTAGAGGACTTTTTTGTTCAGTTTGACTTAATATATGAGTATACAACGGCAGACGACCCCACTGCAGCTTATCTACTATATCGCGCGTGATCATTCATCAATCTTTCTTAATTAATATTTCGATTATTATTGCGAATATCCCAAACCTTTCACAGGACTTTCTTGCTCACCTCAATCCGTTCTACGTTCTTACCAAGGGTCATCATGGAGGTTCGGGACACCCTGTATATTGTATACAATAGCCGAGCGTGGAAAAAAGCCTGTTTTTCGGCGATTACACGATCGTCTTTTTACTGACACTCACATTCATGATTCACTTGGAATTTGCTACATAGAGAGATCGCATCAATCATGTTCGAAATAAAACAAAATTTCATCGTCGCGACCTGTCGCTGAGCAAAGATCGCTTCTGCCGAGAAAGAGAGATCCATTTTACCCGAGACGTCTTGCCTTCATTGGAATTTTATAGCACTCTGACGAAGACATTTGAGTAGCACGGTGGCGGTCCGCTATTTCCAATACTTCAATTAAACGAGAAAAATATGACTCCCGCTCGGTTGTCAGAAATCGTAAATCGCGTGCTCGGCACACTCGAGCACTCTCTTTCGCTCCTGCTCATCGATTGAATTTTTCCGCGTTTCAGCACACCGGCGCAGGTTCCCAGGGCGGCGGCCAGTCCCTGTCGAGTCCTGGCTCCTGTCTGGAGGACTTCCGTGCCACACCGTTTATCGAGTGCAACGGCGCCAAAGGACACTGCCATTATTATTCTAATCAGTTCAGCTTCTGGATGGTAACTATAGAAGACAGTCAGCAGTTCAGGAGTCCCGAGAAGCAGACCCTAAAGGCGGGCAATCTTAGGTCCCGAATAAGTCGCTGCCAAGTTTGTATAAAGAATACGTAAAACTACGCGTTACACACACTGTTACACGTACGCGCATACACATATATACATACACACACACACACACACACAGTGTATGTACACGTACATACGCATACACGAACACACTTCTTTCTTCTCCCGATTTTTTTTACACGAGAACAGAAACGAAACTACAAATATAACGGGCAGGGTATCGGAGCCGACGGTGATTCCGTCGAGTTCTCGAATTCCGAGTCTCTCTCGACACGCGAAAATGATCTCCATGTTTACACGAGACGACGGGAAAGACGACGATTCGCTCGAGAGGTACATTTTGCCGCGGCACGGAAAATAGAGCCCGTCGAAATTACGACCGGTTTCGTTCCCTGATAACAAGGAAGAAGAGAGCGGTAACGTCTCGCGATGGAACGACGGAACGGAAGTTCAGAGGACTCGCTCGATCCGCGTCGACGACGTCGAAATAAAGAGAGCGACACGTCCCTCCCTCGTGATCCTCTCTCTTTCTTCTCCTATACCTGATGTGTTCCGTAACCACGTCTTATCTTCGTTATTCCTGCCCGACTCCTCGTCCCTTACACCGTCTCTATGTCTCCGTCCTCGGTAACTTCTTTTTCCCGAGAGCCAGCCTCCTCGCTCGTTAACCGCCCTTTCATCTTCCCCGCGAACGCTGCCTCTTTCGCCATATGTGTTTTCTTCTTATTTTTGTTCTCTTTTTTTTATACGTATAACTATCCAAGCAAGTGCCTCTAGCGCGTACTACCCTCTCTTTCTCTTTTCCTTTCTCTCTCTTTCTAGCATGTAAAATAATATATATTTATATCTTTCGTATGAATCTCTTGTATTTGAAGTCTAAGTTTATCGTACTCTACCACGGACACTGCCCATATCCAATATGGCACATTTTACATATTGTATATTAATATAAATGATCTTTAGCCTGGTAATCGTGTGACGCCAAATATTTAAATAAATAGGTATTTTGCTACGTAGCTAATAAAATTCTATTTTCAAACTTCACTGGCTCTCATTCGTACTCGTCCGCATCCGACCCTGAAATAGTGAGTAAGCGAGCGTAACCCGAAATGATGTTAGAATGATTTCTGGGCCGTTTGATTTATCTCGTCTTTGTTGAGTGTCTCTTCTTCTTGCGAGCAGACGCATAAAGGAAGAAGAACATAGCCGACTTAATTATGCGAAATTGCTCCTTTTATACACGTTGTAATTCTTGTGTCTGTATTATTGCGCAATGCTGGGAGACTTTCGCGTCTCGGTTAATTTTTTTTTACTGGGCGAAAAAGAGTGTAAAATACTTTTAACTAGACGAAATGCTAGAGAACACTATAACGCAAATGTGAATACAATAGTCTGAATGAAAAATAAAAAAAAAATATTGTGATACATGGACAGAGGTTTGGTGTGTTAATTTGTATCTGCGCTGCAGCGATTGGCTTTCATCCGCGAGATAATCGAAATATCTTTTGTTATTTTGTCAAGTGTTCAATATTTCACGAATGCGCTCCATTCGATTTACATTTATAAAAAAATATCATGTCTAGTGATACTGTTATTTTTTAATGCACGAGTTGTCGATGGAAGCTTAATTATTAAAAGGATACAGTACAGTTAGTTGATGTTGCAATTGCAGAATGTACTATATGCTTCATTCGTAATTTCCTGCAAAGGTTCGCGTTGCAGAGAAAGACGTGTCGAGATCCCCGGTTTAATCTCTCTCGTCCTTTTTCCTTTTTTTTTTTTTTTACATGACTGACATCCCTCTCGAGAGGGGAAAACCCGGTAAACATTTTTGTCCATTTTGCGCGCAGGCAGGTGTTACGAGAATTACCGGACAAATTCAAACTTGTTGATGTTAACGCGTGCTGACTCAGAACGGTTGCACCCATTGTGCAAAAAAGAAAGAAAAACAGGTAAGCCTTGGCGTGCGGAATGCATAAATGTATATTGGCACGAAACTCGTGATAGCGCATTCGACGACTTGTTGTGAATCATTAACACTTAATCCATATCCATAGTTGAAACGATGGTCGCAGTAGAGCGCACACCGTACCGCTCGAAAAGCAATTTTTTTGCGAGGCGCGTTCATTTTACAGGGCAATGTCGGAAATTTTACGCGTCTCCGAGCCGATAAAAGCCGTGCAATGGGAAATACGGAATTGTAAAATGTATGTATAAGAGAAACAAAATATTTCAAATTGAATTTTGCATGCACAGCGCGCACACTCGCAGCGATGTATAATTTTCTGCAAGAATTCTCCGGATTGCAGGCTCATATTGATCCGTTAATTTCATACGCGGATAGTTTGCGAACGGCTAAAAGGGTCGATCGATCGTATCGATTACTGTTATACATGCCTTTTACGTTACATACACGGTCTAATTGAAAAACGCGGCAGAGGAAGGTGTACTTTAACGGTACCATTCGTAGCAAACATTTTCTCGAGTTCCTTTTCCCTTGATATATAATTACTTCAAGACTTTAATTGAATCCCAGAAACGTTTCACAGGGTCCGTTTTATCGCCAGGAATGTGAGAGAAATTTATTCCCACTAATCACCACGGCAGTTTATTTCGCTCGTGCGGCGGCTGCCGCCCGTCGTATTTCTTTCTCCTTCCTTTTTTATTATTATAGAACGATAATCGCGATGAAAATTCGTCGGCACGAAGGCGCATTCGTATGCGTACAGGGCGGCTCACGAAAGAAACGCGAATCAGTAACGGGTTTCTTTCGGCGAGTTTGGGCTTTGGCGATATTCCATCCTTTGGAAATTAAACTCAAACAATGTTTAATACTTTCATAATTAGTATTCTTTAAACTTCTCCATAGTTAAGAGTGCTAATTCGTGAGGTTTCGTCAACTTCCACACGGTCGTGTGAATTTAATTTTTAATTAACACCAAGTAAACCATGCCTTAATAGAATTTTCCGTTTCAAGGATCGTATGGAAGAACTCGCGCAATGAAACTTTCGATGTAAAATCTATTTTAAAAATCCACGAACGAGTCTCGAGCTGTTTCTCCGGGCCAACCTGTACGCGTTTCGCACACGTCGTTATGCGCGAGGCGCCTTTATTTTCTCGTGCAGCACGCGAGTAAACTGTCATCGGCGCGATTTCACGCGTGAGCGTGCGCCGTCTCGTTATGGCAATCCTGTTGTTCGAAGAAGAAAAATCGTTAGCGCGCCGAAGTCGTGAGGTACTTTAAAGTTCCGGGCGCGGCTGTCTTCGTGTACGGAAAAGTTTCGCGCAGCGGGAACTATCCGTAAGAAATTGATCAAGATCAATGTCACTCAAGAGCCGCTTAGTCTTTAATTGGTTGGCGAAAAAGTGCTTTGCGAGTCTTCTCCAAGTTTTTAACTCGAATATATTGCTCCGATACGTACACCTGCGTGTTATCCCGGCATACACGAAATGATCCCGGGGCAATTTGTCCGGTATATAAAACGGAGAGTCGCGCCGAGAATTCTAAAAATGCGGATCGAGCTGCAAATGCGACGTATCGTACATACATACATGCGTATTTCCTTCCTAATGAACGAGATCGTCGACTGATTCATTAGCATACATTTTCTCTTTACGCGCAAACAACACATACCTCCCTTTTACGCGCCTCTCACTCTCACGTCTCTAATGCCGCGTTCGTTCGATCACCTATGATTGGCACCACGGGGATTGAATCGAAACGCGGCGCACAATGCCGCGTCAATGCACGCGCAGCTTGCACTCTTTCGCGAGTTTCCGTTGAGATACCATGACATTTCCTCGCGCATACATCAACTTAACTCCTGGACGATGTTTCGAGCATTCCAAGACATGCGAAAGCGGCATGGAGTTTTGCGAAACGTTCGAATTTATTTCTCAAATGGACAATCTTTGATACGATACGCTATCGTTACCGGTATTACATATCAAGAGACGCGGTAGCTAGTAAGTAAAAATAAAAAAATACAATAATAAATACCGAGTAAACGCGCGAAGCGAGGAACGGGTCAATTATAAATAACGCAAGGTTAAAATATAAATTATCTTTTTTGAAAAAGGTAAAAACAGACGCCAAGTTTTCGTGCCAAACCGCATGAATATATAACTGTATACGATATCGTAAGAATTTGATTTTATTTAGAGAAGACCAAAATTGAGATTTTTTTTAGCAGAATTTATTTTAGCCAATATATTGTTTAATCCTGGACATTCTATGTCGGAAGTATCTAATTTCGTATATTTTATTTTTATTATTTTAGTCTTTAAATACGAATATTTAAACTTTTAACATAAAAAATATATATATATGTATTCTATATTGAAATTTTAAATATTCGTATTTAAAGACCAAAAGAATAAGAATATATCCAGGATAAGGTACACGTTCGGGCACTGATGCTTTTATCTTAAATTCATTCGCTCAATCAACGTAAAATTGCGACGGCTTTGATTCACTTATAAAAATTGCACGTGACCGGAGGCAAGTGCGACGTAGGTTTTCTTGTTTTCCAGTGATATACTTAACCTCGCTCCGTTTATCGAATCACTGTTACAACTTGTTTGCTATCCATTGGAAAGAAACCAAGTAACGCATAGCGGAAATTTATAACAATTGTATTATATAACCCACAACTAAGGATAAATAATCCCACATAAAAGAGATCTGTGAGATCTCCTCAAGACATCTTGTCAAAATATTGCAATGTCTCAGAAATACCTGATAGATATTTAGATATTCGGGGGATATTACCAGGATATACTAATGTTCGCACTTAAGATAATTATAATAGATAATCGGAATTTATGTAGGAAAACATTTATAGTGATAATACACAAAATAAATTATACAAATTACACAAAAGAAATATATATTGTGGGGAATACAAATACAATCGACTCGACTATGAATACCGGCTTTAGAAGCTTTTGCGTGCGCGTGAAATCACGACAGGATTATGTGACTCAGACTGCGTTCCGAAATTCACTACTAGTACTGAAATTGTATTGTGATGTAAACAATAGATTTTCAATACTAATAAATTTTGAAACATAGTCTCAGTTAGCTACCCTCTTTCAAAGCTGTGTCCCAATTTTTCATCATGTAATGTTTCACCACGTTTTTTTACATATGGTCAACAGTATAACCTATTCTTTATTAGTATATATACTAATTATATTTTAAAGATATTGAGATATATCCGTAATGATCACAGTATATCCTGTAGATCTCTTTTGCTGTATATATGATATCTCTACGTTTTCATAAGTATGGACATTAGTATATCATATTCCTAATCAGTATATATACTGTAAAGATATATTGTAAGAATATTGAAATACATTTCATATATTCGCGATAATTTCAGTATATCCTACAGATTTCTTTTGCTGTATGTGATATGCGCGGCAGGAAGGTATTATGCACAATTCTGCGCATAATATGCATAAAATATCTATTATGCGCAGAAAACGTGCAGAATATCTGCAGAAAATGCAGAAAACCCCTGAGACGCGCCCACAATGATAAAAATCAGTGCGAATTTACAAAGAAAATTTATTAATTTTTTTGATAAATTAACTAAATTTTTATAATATTTTTACTTAAAATATGCTTTTTTCCTCTTATTTTGATTAAAAATACAGAAAGTGGAAGATAACTTTAATGTTTTGAGGTAAAATTATAAATCACTCGGTATTTTAACATTGCAAATCGGAGGTTAAAAATGAGTGTTTTTAGTAAAATATTTACCAGTGCGGTATTGCTAAATTCATCCATAATATTACATATATGTGCTTAAATTTCACTTCTAAATAATAAATTTACAGCGTGGCTTGGAACTCTCAGTTCTCATGAACCCTACAGATGATGTTAGCTTTGTCCATATCGAATCCATATTAGAGTATCGATTGCCACAACGGAATTCCGCTCTCTGGCGACCGTCGTTGAACGTAAGGTGACAAAGTTAACATATATTACTTCCTCTTTTTATTCATCATCTTCGGACCACGCCGACAACCCTTTCTTGGAGGTTAGGCAGCGGACTTGTTATATACGCGACTCTCATTCTCTCTATATTTTTTTCTCGGTCTGCGGACTTCGTCGATGACCTTCTTTTGGAGATTAGGTGGCGGAGTCGCTATACGAAGCTTCCTCTCTCTCGTTTTGTATTTACCATTCTATTTGAATGGTAAATTTCATGTTTTCAGGTAAAATTACAAATTACTCGGTATTTTAACATCGTTAATCGGAGGTTAAAAATGACTACTAATTTTCACAGTAAAATAAGATGAAAAATTGTATCAATGCACTTTAACCTAAAATAACCTTTCTTCCTTTAATATATCCTTTGTCCACAACCTTTCTTTAATTCTTAAGCCGTAAGAAATTGACCAACCACAGTTG